AATAAACAAACATAAAGTGTGTGTGAGATTGTGTGAGCAGTATATCTCGTGTAGAGTGAATATGTAAAGAGCAGTAAGTAAAGAAAGCAGTAAAGAACACAAGACAATTATAGTGGTTCGCGAGGTGGTGCAATCCTCCTACTCCAGTTGCTCTTATCTCCAAGAGCAATTCACTATATCTACCTGATGGATATATTATACCCACGACCCGACCCGGGGTAGCAACATGGACCCGGGGCACCTTGGTGGAGCCCAAGAGCAACACGGACCCGGGGGACCGCGGAGGTGCCTAAGAGCAACACGGACCCAGGGGACCACGGAGGTGCCTAAGAGCAACACGGACCCGGGGGACCACGGAGGTGCCTAAGAGCAACACGGACCCGGGGGGACCACGGAGGTGCCTAAGAGCAACACGGACCCCGGGGACCACGGAGGTGCCGAAGAGCAACACGGACCCGAGGGACCACGGAGGTGCCCAAGAGCAACACGGACCCGGGGGACCACGGAGGTGACCAAGAGCAACGCGGACCCGGAGCACCATGGAGGTGCCCTGACCCGAGCCGACCTACGTGGAGCTCGGGTCGGGGAGCTCGGTCCTACCCGAGCTCGGCACCACCCGAGCTCGGGACCCGACCCGACCCGGTCCGCCCGGGCCCGGTCAAACTTGAGATCTAACCACCCCCGATTTAAGGGGAGGCGGTTGGGGGTTTGCTTGTATAAAAACCCCCTCCATGTCCTAACAAGGGGCAATTCATTCCACATTATACGATTATTACACACTTTGTCATACCGAATCTTTGTAATAGCCAAATACTACGGCAATTAATATAATATACGGTCCACCGCGACCTTTACGACATCGTTCTATATTATTCGTTTATTATTTATTATATTACGTTCTTATCCGGATTTATTGATTCGGGTCCACCCCGGGTTAATTAAATCCATCATTGGTGCTCTTATTGAGAGCTGTTGTACAAGCTTAAGCGCTCTCCCCACTATTGTTCATCGACAGTGATGGCACGATCGAGATCCAGCTCTCGTCATACCAATGGTTCCCGCGGCACCCAGCTCGTCGCGAACGGGAACGGGCCCAACGAGGCCCCCGCCCCCAGCATCCAACCGGCCGCCTCCACCAGGTCGGGGGAGGATCTGAGGGCCCAGCTCACCAACCCCCGCAGTGGCGGAGCTCCACCGCCCGCCCCCCCTGTTCGGGACCTAGACCTCATCCGGGAGGGGATGGCGGTCTTCGAGCAAGCCTCCACAGGGTTGGCCCGGGTCGTGGCGGACCTCCGGGCGCGTATACCTGCCGACCCAGGCGTCAACCGAAGGTCACCTGCATCTCCTCAACCTCCCCCCACCCGGGGGCGCAGCGGTCCAAGCACCCGACCACCCCAGGCACCTGTCACCCAGGGGGAGGTCAATTCACCCCGCCGGACGAACACACGGGGAGGAGGGGACTCACTACGCGACCGACGTCAGGAGGACGACGGAAGGAGGTCAAACCAGACCAGGCCCGCCACGGAGAGGTTGGGCAGCCGGGTGCCAACCCGAGAGAGGTTGGGCCCGCGGCCTGCTGCTAATGAGCCTCCGCAGAATCCTGCTCCCGCAGGAAGGCACGACAGCAGTCAGTCACCCGGAGGTCGCCAAGCCACGGACCCCGGGCCCCGCCGCGACAAGAGGCAGGCCCGCGGGGGTCCCCGGGACGGGGGACCCGAGTCCCACCTCGGCATGCACAGGCTTCCCGGGTCGAACGATCAGGAGAAACGAATGGTAGAGCTCCGAGCTCCCATCGGGTAGAGGTCGAGCAGCTGCGGAGGAGGATGGATGAGCTCCAGAGGAAATTCGACGAGATGGACGGATCCCCAGAGCCCCAGGATGTGTTGTCCTCCCCGTTCGCAAACGCCATCATGGAGGATCCCTTACCTCGAGATTTTCGCTTTCCCACCATTAAAGCGTACTCGGGGACCACGAACCCGCGGGCACACCTGACCAGGTACAGAGCCGCCATGATGATCACCGAGGCAACGGACGCCATCCTGTGTAGGGGGTTCTTCGCCACCTTGGACGGGCAGGCGCATGATTGGTTCGGATCCCTCCCAGCGGGGTCCATCTCCACCTTTGCAGACCTCACCCGGCAGTTCCTATCCCATTTCGCCACCAGCATACAACGGAAGAAGCAAATTGCCGACCTGTGTGATTTGAAGCAGGGGAGCTCGGAATCACTAGCCGAGTACCTCAGCAAGTGGAAGAAAGAGGTCATGGGGGTCGCCGACTTTGATGCTAAATCGGCCATGGTAATTTTCCGGAACAACTTGAGGTCGGGCGCTTTTCACCAGGACCTCATCAGGTACCCCCCCAGGACCTACATCGACCTGATGGACAAGGCAGCGAGGTACGCTGACGCCAAGGCTGCCGAGAAGAGGAAGAAGGAGCAGGAAGAAGGAAGAGGTTGAAAAGACAAGGCAACCCAGGAGGAGCGCAAGGCGCCCCGACCGCACCGACGTGAGTACGCTGAGGGGCCCAGGATGAACCCCACACGCTATCTCACCCCGCTGACACAACCCGTGGGTACTATCTTGGCGCATGCGGAGGACCAGGGAATCGTGGTATTCCTTAAGGAGGAGTGCATGAAGATATCGACGAGGGGGGACCCCAACAAGTACTGCAGGTTCCACCAGCAGAAAGGACACGATACAGACGAGTACATCCTCCTAAAAAGACAAATCGAGCAGCTCATCCAAATGGGCTACCTCGGCCAATTCATTAAGAAGCCCGGCCAGGCGCAGGAACAGGCCCAGGGGCAGAAGCAGAGCAATGTATGGCGGAAGGGGGGTGGCCAGGCGCCGTCCACCTCGGCTCCTCCCCGCAAGAGGGACCACCACGACCACAGTTCCGAGGAGGAGGAGAAGACGACGGAGGACTCCCAGCCCCCGAAGAAACGGGCCATCTACGTCATCTTTGGGGGGCCCGAGGGAGGGGACTCGCCAGCCAAGCGGAAGAGGTGGGCGAGGAGTTGTACGTGGGGGAGGTCACACGTACCACCCACGAGAAGAAACCAATGAGGGAGCCCATCACGTTCACCGACGCCGACCTGCCAGATGGGCCCCTCCCCCACCGAGACGCCCTGGTGGTCAAGCTGGACATCAACAACGTGGTGGTGCACTGGGTACTCGTAGACACGGGTAGCTCGGTGAACGTCATGTACTACGACACGTTCACCCAGCTGGGACTCTCAAGAGGGCAGCTGGAGCAGGTACGCACCCCCCTATCCGGGTTCACGGGGGACTCAATTGAGACGGAGGGGTCGATCAGTCTGGAGGTAGAGATAGGCACCCCACCTCACACCAGGAGGTGGGAGGTCGAGTTCGTAGTCGTGAAAATCAGCTGCGCCCACAACATAATACTCGGCCGACCCGCCCTGAAGGACCTCAGGTGTGTAATTTCCATGGAGCACCTGTGTCTCAAGTTCCCGACACCGACCGGGGTCGGGGTCGCCCGAGGGGACCAAAAGGTAAGCCGCAGCTGCTACTTGAAGGCGTGCCGCCAGATTGGTCAAAAGGACCTCCAGGTACATACCATCGTCGAGAAGGCATTTCGGGAGGAGGTAGGTCGACCTCGGGCCGAGCCCGTGGTCGAGACAGAGGAGGTCATCCTCGACCTCAGCCGACCCGACCGGGTTGTGAAGGTAGGGGTCGGCCTCTCGGCCGAGCTCCGGGCACGGATAATCAACACCATCAGGAGCTACAAGGAGGTCTTTGCATGGGGTCCCGAGGACATGCCGGGCCTCAGCCGAGACGTGATCACACACAAGTTGGCCGTCGACCCCGCGGTCAGGCCAATCCAGCAACGCAAAAGGTAGCTCTCCGCCGAGAGGAGGGAGTTCGTCAAAAAGGAGGTCGACACACTGCTGGAGATTGGTCATGTTAGGGAGGTCATATACCCCACCTGGCTGGCCAACGTAGTCCTCGCCCCAAAGCCGCCCACCTGGAGGATGTGCGTGGACTACACCGACCTCAACAAGGCCTGCCCTATGGACCCCTTTCCCCTCCCCAACATCGATCAGCTGGTGGACGAGACTGCTGGTTGTGCCCTTATGAGCTTCCTAGATGCGTTCAGGGGGTACCACCAAATTTTCATAGAGGAGTCTGACGAGGAGAAGACAGCCTTCACCACGCCAGAGGGGGTCTATTGCTACAAGGTTATGGCTTTCGGACTGAAAAATTCAGGTGCCACCTACACCCGAATGGTGGCCAAGGTGTTCAAGCAGGTCCCCGGTCGCAACCTCCAGGCCTACGTCGACGACATGATCGTCAAGAGCACCGACGCCGACATCCACACAAATGACCTTACCGAGGTATTTTCAATTATGCAACGCTTCAATTTACGGTTGAACCCCAAAAAGTGCACCTTCGGGGTGCACTGGGGGAAATTTTTGGGGTACATGGTCTCGAAGAGGGGCATTGAGCCCAACCCCGACAAGGTCATGGCCATCCTAGACATGGAACCTCCGAGGTCCCTCCAGGAGGTCCAGCGCCTCAACGGGCGATTGGCAACCCTGGGCCGTTTCCTTTCGAGGTCGGCCGAGAAGTCCTTGCCGTTCTTTGGAGTCCTCAAAAAGACTAAGGGCTTCGAATGGTCCGAGGAGTGCCAGAAGGCGTTCGAAGACCTCAAGACGTACCTGATATCGCTCCCCCCTGGCCAAACCCGTTAAGGGGGAGGTCCTATATCTGTACTTGGGCATCTCGCAGGCCGCGGTCAGCTCCGTGCTGGTCCGGGACGACGAGGGGGTCCAGCGGCCCGTATACTACACGAGCCGAGCTCTACGGGGAGCAGAGATCAGGTACACACCCGTGGAAAAGGCCATTTTTGCAGTAGATGCGACGGCAAAGAAGCTGAACCACTACTTCCAGGCCCACCCCGTGCAGGTCCTCACCAACCAGCCGCTAGACGCAGTACTGAGGGCCTCGGGGTCGGCAAGCAGGCTGGTCAGGTGGGCCATGCGGCTGAGCCAGTTCGACATCCAGTTCAAGCCCCGACCCGCCATCAAGGGGCAGGCGCTGGCTGACTTTATAGTCGAGTGCACTGCCCGGGAGGCAACGGAGCGGGTCAGGGACGAAGACGAGGAGTGGTGGACCCTCTCAACGGACGGGTCCTCCAGCACCAAAAGCTGCGGGGGTGGAGTCGTCCTCATAACACCGGAGGGGTTTCGGGCCTACTACGCCCTCCGCTTCGCGTTCAAATTATCCAACAACGAGGCCGAGTATGAAGCACTCCTGGGAGGGCTCCGCCTCGCACTAAATATGAGGGTGGAGAAGCTCAAAATCCGATGTGACTCTAGACTCGTGGTGGGACAGGTCACAGGTGAATTTGAAGCAAGTGATGAAAGAATGAGGAGGTACCGGGACGTGGTGCTCCAGCTACTGGGGCAGCTGATCAATTATGAGGTCCTACAGGTACCCCGAGACCAGAACACAGATGCTGACATGTTATCCAAGCTCGCCCAAGAGGCCCCGGAACATATCTCAAAAATAGCCCGAATTGAAGATTTCAAGAGGTCGAGCCTGGACGCCTACCCGGTCCTACCCGTGCAAATCCGACCTCCCTGCTGGTTGGACCACCTCAAGGAGTACAAGAAGACAGGCACGCTACCTCCCGACGAGGTTGACGCCAGGCTGGTGAAACGGCGAGCCCCCACGTACGTGGTCATGGGGGACACACTCTACAAGAGGTCCTATAACGGCGCCTTGCTGCGCTGCTTATACCCAGACGAAGCCAGGTCAGTCATGGAAGAAATCCACGAATGGACCTGTTCAGCCCACCAGGGGTACTTTTGGCCCAAAAATGGCCAAGGAGTGCGCTGACTATGCCCGGGGTTGCGAGACCTGCCAACACTTCCAAGTCACCCCCGGCCGGCCAGCCACGAGCTACACCCCCATCAGCTCGGTCATCCCCTTCTCCAGGTGGGGAGTGGACCTAGTGGAAGCTCTGCCCATGGGGTCGGGAAAAAGGAAGTACCTCATAGTAGCAGTGGACTACTTCACCAAGTGGGTAGAGGCGGAACCGCTGGCAACCATAACAAGTGCCCGTTGCAAGCACTTTGTGTACGAAAATATTTTGTGCCGTTTTGGGGTCTCGATGCAACTCATCACCGACAACGGACGCCAATTCAAGGGCAAGAGTTCGAGGGGTTCTGTGCAGAATGGCACATTACTCACAGCCGGGTAGCAGTGTGCTACCCTCAAGCAAATGGCCAGGTGGAAAATGCCAACCGCACCATTGTGGGCGGCCTGAAAAAGAAACTGGAATCCGCGGGGGGAGCGTGGGTGGAGGAGCTCGACGCCATTCTTTGGGCCTACCGCACCACCCCCCGGAGGGCTACTGGGGAGACACCTTTTTCCTTAGCCTACGGTTTCGAAGCCCGAGCTCCAGCGGAGGTAGTCATACCTTCCCGGTGGGAGGAGGACTACGACCCTGACACGAACGAGGAGCACCATAGAATTGACCTCCACATGATTGATGACAGGCGCGAAGCAGCCGCAATTCGAGCTGAAAACTACCAGAGGCAGACCAAGGCATACCACGATAAGCGGGTCCGACCCCGCTATTTCCAAGTAGGTGACTACGTGCTCAGGAGAAGGGAGGCGAGCCAGCCCCAAGCCGGAGGGAAGTTTGCCCCTAATTGGGAGGGCCCGTACATTATAGCAGCCGTGGTTCGCCCGGGCAGCTACAAGCTCAAAACTCCCAAAGGAAAGATGATAGCCAGGGTCTGGAACTCAGAGCACCTGCTGAAATTTTACCAGTAGACCTACCACGTGAGAGGTGGGTCTTGGCGTTGCTATTATAGGAGGAGAACCATTTCCCTCCCCTAATAATGTCTTAGTGAGCGGCATTAGTCAGAAGAAAATCGCATATTACAGAATACATTGTGCGCAGGACCTTTTTTGTTTGGTCCGGCAAGACTGGGCCCAAGCGGTTTGGCGCACCCTAAGGGGGCACGAGGTCCGACCTCGCGTACAAACCCCGACGGAAGAGCCCGGTGGCGTAGTCCGGAAGGACTTAGCCCAAGAGGCTAACGTACCCTAAGGGGGCACGAGGTCCGGCCTCGCGTACTAACCCCGACGGAGGACGCACCCTAAGGGGGCACGAGGGACGACCTCGCGTACCAACCCCAACGGAAGTGCCCGGTGGCACGGTCCCGTCGGACTGTGCCCGAGCAGCTAACGCGCACCCTAAGGGGGCACGAGGTCTAACCTCGCGTACAAGCCCCGACGGAGGAGCCCGGTGGTTTGGTCCGGCAGGACTTGGCTCAAGCGGTTTGGCGCACCCTAAGGGGGCACGAGGTCCGACCTCGCGTACAAACCCCGACGGAAGAGCCCGGTGGCGTAGTCCGGAAGGACTTAGCCCGAGAGGCTAACGTACCTAAGGGGGCACGAGGTCCGACCTCGCGTACAAACCCCGACGGAAGAGCCCGGTGGCGTAGTCCGGAAGGACTTAGCCCGAGAGGCTAACGTACCCTAAGGGGGCACGAGGTCCGGCCTCGCGTACCAACCCCGACGGGAGAGCCCGAGGACATAGTCTCATAGGACTTTGTTGAAGAGGCTAACACATGGCAAAAGAAAAAAAAAAATACCGTGCCTACCTCGGCCAGCTGCCGAGGTCGGCCTCGGCAAGCCGCCGAGGTCCACCTCGGCAACTGCCGAGGCCCTCCTCGGCAACTGCCGAGGCCCACCCCGGCAACTGCCGAGGTGGCAAAAAAAAAAAAAAAAACAAGTATCTCAGGGAAAGGCGATAGTAGGTAAAAGGTGGCACCCGTTACTGAAGCAAAGGAGCAGTAGCCATAATATCCAAGTCTAGCACATGGCAAAGGAAGGAACAAGTTTGTGCTACCTGGGTAGTCAAAATAACAAGTCTAGTACATCACCAAGGGTGAACAAGGTCGGCTACTTTGAGCTCGGGCCACGTGCGTGAGGAATGCGTGGAGCAAGGAGGTGGAGCGGCCCAAGACGTCTCACCACGGCGCAAGACACCTCTACTCAAGACGCCTCGGCACAATGCACCTCGGCCATGGTGAGTTCAGCTACATTCGCACATGGAGGTCGGGTCCGGATATTTACTCTCATGCGTTGACTCCTACTCGCAACGAAGAGAGTGGGGGACTCATGATTGATATATTATACCCACGACCCGACCCGGGGTAGCAACATGGACCCGGGGCACCTTGGTGGAGCCCAAGAGCAACACGGACCCGGGGGACCGCGGAGGTGCCTAAGAGCAACACGGACCCGGGGGACCACGGAGGTGCCTAAGAGCAACACGGACCCGGGGGACCACTAGGCATGACCACGGTTTCGGTTCCGGTTCGGTTCCGGTTCGGAACCGCCGGTTCCGGTTCCGAAAATGGTCGAACCGGAACCGGAACCTTAATATAAGGTTCCGGTTCCGGTTCTTGAACCGCCGGTTCCGGTTAGAACCGGCGGTTCTAACCGGAATTTCTCTCTTTTTTTTTTTTTTCCTTTTTTTTTTTTTTTTAATTGTTACTCGCTAGCAAAGCCTGGCGCAAAGGCCAAGGCTTGGCCTTTGCGCCAGGCCAACTGGCGGAAGTGGCCAGTAGGCCACTCGCTAGTGGCCTACTGGGCCACTTTATTTTTTTGGTTTCAAATGAAACCAAAAAAATAAAGTGGCCCAGTAGGTTCGCATGTTTTTTTTTTTTTTTTTTTTTTTTTTTTTTGGGATTTCACGGTTTGGAACCGGAACCGTCCGGTTCCGAACCGGAACCGGCGGTTCCGGTTCCAATATTATAGGAACCTTAACCGGAACCTTATAGGTTCCGGTTAAGAACCGGAACCGTACGGACGGTTCCGGTTCGGTTCCGGTTAGCACAGTGACGGTTCCGGTTACGGTTCCGGTTTGAACCGGAACCGTGGTCACCTCTAGGGACCACGGAGGTGCCCAAGAGCAACACGGACCCGGGGGGACCACGGAGGTGCCTAAGAGCAACACGGACCCGGGGGACCACGGAGGTGCCCAAGAGCAACACGGACCCGGGGGACCACGGAGGTGCCCAAGAGCAACACGGACCCGGGGGACCACGGAGGTGACCAAGAGCAACGCGGACCCGGAGCACCATGGAGGTGCCCTGACCCGAGCCGACCTACGTGGAGCTCGGGTCGGGGAGCTCGGTCCTACCCGAGCTCGGCACCACCCGAGCTCGGGACCCGACCCGACCCGGTCCGCCCGGGCCCGGTCAAACTTGAGATCTAACCACCCCCGATTTAAGGGGAGGCGGTTGGGGGGTTTGCTTGTATAAAAACCCCCCTCCATGTCCTAACAAGGGGCAATTCATTCCACATTATACGATTATTACACACTTTGTCCTACCGAATCTTTGTAATAGCCAAATACTACGGCAATTAATATAATATACGGTCCACCGCGACCTTTACGACATCGTTCTATATTATTCGTTTATTATTTATTATATTACGTTCTTATCCGGATTTATTGATTCGGGTCCACCCCGGGTTAATTAAATCCATCACTACCACTCCTTGGTTCCACGATACAATGAATTTCCGTGATCTAGTGCTTTGATCACAAAGCCCGCACTAATCACGCCCAGTGACACCACACTGCTGCTTCGGGTTTCTCGTCGCCGCGCTACTATCCCAGGATTTCACGACTCCGCGTTACTTTCCCCCCGTCTTCCACACTCCCGTAGAAACGTATCCCGTGATCTAGTGCTTTGATCACAAAGCCCGCACTAATCACGCCCAGTGCCTCCGACACTGCTGCTTCGGATCTCACAGCTTCGTGTGACAATCCAGGATTTCACAGCTCCGTGCTACTTTCCTCCCTTCTCTTGTTTTGCTCCAAAACAAGTGTTGTCTTGCTTCCAACTTCTGAGACTCTGTAGATGATCTTCAATGATGCGCAGGTCTCTTTGATGAAGATAAACACTCTGGAATGATTTCTCTTGATAGCTCTGAGTGTTTTCTCTCTTTGAATTTATCAAGTAAAGCACTTGATATTTTTGCTCTGCTTTTTGAACTCTCTGAATATTTTCTTTGAAGCTCTCTAAGTTCTTTTTCTTTTCTCACTTCTCACTTGAAGATTTTTGGTATGCTCTGTACCAAATGAGATTTTTGCTCTATGCTCTTTCAAGCTTAATTGCTCTATTCGATCTCCTTGAAGAATTTCGAATTTTCTGCTCTCTTGTTCGTGAGTTCCCCATCTTCAAGTCTTCATATCTTCATCATTTTATAGCTGGTAATGAGAATCTGTCCGTTGGAAAGAGACGCTCTCATTTTTGAAATCTTGTATCTTTTTGTCAGAGATCTTATCTTATCTTCTGCAAAGATGTCAGAAAGGATAAGCTAGCCGTTTGATGGATCTTCATCTCCATGTAAATGAGCTCCCAAACTTCATCTGATATTCCTCTGGTTTAACGTTGAGTGGGAATATCTGGGTCTCTGTTTTGGTGTAGAATGGCTTCTCTGATCAGCTCTAGAGTGGTCTTTGTATCTTTGGGATTTAAAAAATATTCATTAATTTAATCCCATACTAGTTAAACTAGTATTTTTCTTTGTGAGAATATTTTCACTTGTAAGTTCATCTTCATCTTCTTCATTCTCACGTCTGGGTGTTCTCAGACTTCAAACTGGCTTTGAATTTCTCCTTTGTAATTGACACTCAATTTCAATTGGCTTGTAATTGGCACCCAATTTGAATTTCTCCATTGTAATTGGCTCCCAATTGACTTTGACTTGCAATTGGCTCCCAAACTTCTCCTGGTGCTTTCAATTGGCTTGTAATTGGCACCCAATTTGAATTTCTCCATTGTAATTGGCTCCCAATTGACTTTGATTTGCAATTGGCTCCCAAACTTCTCCTGGTGCTTTCAATTGCTTCCCAATTTGAATTGTTGACTTTGACTTCGAAATTGGCTCCCAGACTTCTCCTGGTATTGAATTTCATATCAATTCAATTTGATCTCCATGTCTTCTTTGAATCGGTCCCCAACTTTGAAATTGCATCCCATACTACAACCTCAATTAGCTCCCAATTTCAATCCCAACTTTGAAATTGCATCCCATACTACAACCTCAATTAGCTCCCAATTTCAATCCCAACTTTGAAATTGCATCCCAATTTCAATCCCAACTTTGAAATTGCATCCCATACTACAACCTCAATTAGCTCCCAATTTCAATCCCAACTTTGAAATTGCATCCCATACTACAACCTCAATTGGCTCCCAATTTCAATCCCAACTTTGAAATTGCATCCCATACTACAACTTCTACAACCTCCCATACTACAACCTCAATTGGCTCCCAATTTCAATCCCAACTTTGAAATTGCATCCCATACTACAACTTCCGTAACCTCCATGCTACAACCTCAATTGGCTCCCAATTTCAATCCCAACTTTGAAATTGCATCCCATACTACAACTTTCAATAACTTTCAATTGTACATTGGCTCCCATCCCAATTTCAATCCCAACTTTGAAATTGCATCCCATACTACAACTTTCAATTGTACATTGGCTCCCATCTTGAAACTTTAGTTGATTCAATTCGGCGCCCAAAGCTTAAACTAGTGCCCAACTCCATCAGATTAATTTAATTTGGCTTCTCAAATTTTACCTTGTAAAATTATTAATGGTGAGTTTTGAACTTGAGCTATTTCACATAACATATCAAGCATCATCCACTTCGTCCGTATAGCTTTTGATTAAATCTCCAATCACATTTGATGTACTCCTTTCTTTCCATAGATGCTTGATCTCCAAGTCAATTTC